TTTAAATGCATTTTAGGGATATGAAAATATAATTATGTAATGCTTGTTACATATACATATAAGATGAATAGAAACAGATACATCAAATCCATTTCTCTTTTTTAAAAAAAGTAACTTGACATGGTTTAGAACTTAACGATTACTAGAGATAAATGTGAACTATGTGATTGAGCTTTCATGGTTAATATTCCAACTTAGCTAGCAACAATCACTGCCTGATCATGTTGAAATAATTTTTTCACAATGATGTTCTCTAAATTACTTAAGCTGCATTAAATACTTTATGTGAAGGGACTTAGAAATATGAGACTTCTGTAATAATTGTAATACATGACTTTTAGGTTGGTCCTTGCAGTTGACTAAGGATTTTCATATCCATGATTATTTGTCTTCATCTGTAAGAGGTATATATAAAAATATTACACCTGGGGAGGGTAACATAACTAATTAAAAATATGGGAATTACATACAAGAGGCAAAATTTAACTCTGACCTTTTGACCTCTAACCCCATAAAAGTTGTTCACAGTAGTTAGTATTGGTTGAGAGTTCTTTTCCAAAGCTTTTGACTAGGCGACCTGAGCCTTATCCTCTTTCACAACATATCAGTTTGTTAGTTCCAGTATTACCTCATGTTGTTTTATTTTCTTTATCCAAGGTTAAAAGTAATTGTCTTTTCTAGTCTCTATTTGTTGAAGACTCCATTGACTCAACTGAGTCTCGATGGGCTACTGGATCTTGGGAGTCCAGTGTTGAAACACACTCATTCTTTCTGCTTTGATTTTAGGAAAGGGATAAGCAAATAACAGGTAATATTTTTACAAGCATCTTTTGTTCTCATGAATAACTTTTCTTGGCCTCTTTTGGCGTACCCATGTATATCTTTCATGATTAAGACTACAACGTTGAATTTTAGTTTCTCCCATCTCTCTTCATTTTCATTCATTCATTTGCAGTTTAAGCCTTCCTCATGTTTTAAATTGTTTCTAATGAAACACCCTTTGATTCACTCTTGTTCCCACTACTTGTCTTTAGCCCTCCTTCGTCTTCAGCCTGTTGGTATTGTACAAATATCTCTTATGACATCCCAAATATTACAGATACTAAATTCCTCAGAATGTGGTCACTGCCTTCCTAGCTTAGGCTCATTGCTTTGTGCTTGGCCCTTTTCCTTCTCTCTCCAGCCCATCAATATTTCAGTCTTAGCTAACATCTCTGATTATATTCATGATGGTCTTTTTCTTGGAAAGCCTGCTCTCTGTCCCTTGCTTCTCCCATTTCCCATCCTCTGGTGCCCCATCTAGTTGGTGAGTCTCTTCTAAGCCCTACTTTAAATATCACTACCTCTGAGTACTCTTTTTTGTACTTTAGTGGAATACAGTTCTTTTTCTTTTTCTCCATAATTCCAGCCAGTCCATCATCTGGTTAAAATCTATGTAGAAAGGTCTTCTCCTCACCATCTCCATTGCTAGCTTCATTACCTTTATTTTTACTTGAATTATTTGTAGTAGTCTCTTTACTTGTCTCCAGTTTCCATCTTTGCTATATAAAGTCTGTTCTCATAACAACCAGTAAGATCTTCATAAAGTTCAAATCAGATCATGTCTGATTTGGGACCCTCCACTGTCTTCCTATTTGAATCAAAGAAAACTGAAAACTTTACCCTGGGTTCAGTGGTCTTGTGTGATGTCAGCCAAATTTTCTCTCTGATTATTTCTATAGCCTTTGGTCTCTGCTATGCAGAAAATTTACCTCCATGACAGACATACTCACATAACAATCTTTGCACTTACCTTCTCTAGCATTTGGAGCACCGTTTCCCAAGTGTATGTTTGTCTGACTCCAGTCCTCCTTTCAGATCTTCCTTTAAATATCATCTTACCAATGGAGCCCTAGATAAAATAATGGCTTCTTTATATAACACTTTCCAAATCATGGCTCTTGACTCTCTGTCTCCTTTAAACTTTCCCTGACTTCCTTTTATGTATAGAACTCATCAACATCTTATATAGTATTTATTTATTCTAGAATGTTAGTATCTTTGGTCAGATGTTGAGATTTAGTCAGTATAAAAGCCATATCACTAAATTGGAAAGTATGATCTACAGTACTATATGCAGTCATTTCTACCTGCTCTGGCCTGGGGTAGAGAAGAGAGGACATTATGAGTGTTCCAGATGGGAAACAGCATGTCTGAATTATGGTTGAGGATCTTATCGTGTATTTGAGGCATTGAGAGCTTTGCATGGGTAGAAGGTGTGGTGGGAGAGGGTGTGTGTTTGAGGATTAGAGGAGGAAGGGAAAAGAAGAGGAAGAAAGAGAAATATGGAGAATGAGAGAGTGAATGACTGAGAGTGCCAGACACATTATAAAGCCTTTAATAAGTCCTATCAAGTGCAAGACCTTATTGAATGCCTCACAGATGGAAGAGAAATTGACACACACTTGGCACTAGAACCTGGATCATCTTCCTTCTAATCCAGCACTTTTTCAATTCTATCACTTGGGGCCTCTTCCTGCAGTGACGTGAGCCAACATTATGCTGAGAAGCAAAGATGTTTGTTGCTGATTAGACCACTATTGAATTTCATCTGAATGTTATATGTTATATAATGTTAATGATAAGGTTATATGACTTTTAATTGATCCAGAAAGTAGCACAAGGTTGAGAGTTCAAAAAATATAAAAGTACAATAATTTACACTAAATAGACCAGAGAAGAGAAGAGAGCCCAGGGACTGTCCTTACAGGGTTGGGACTTGCTACTGTGTACTGACTGCTGTCGCCAAAGGCAAGTCCTCCCCATGCTTCATTTTCTTATCTCTAAAATGAAGATAATAATAAGGATGCGTTATCTATTATCAGCAATTCTGAAATTCACAGAGCTCAGAAAACCACAAGTTGGTTTTCTTTTGACTTAATTTCTTAACTTCCTGGCAAACTCATTCAGTGGTGAAATTGAATCTGAACTTGAGTTTTATAGCCACTTACAGTTGGTAAAAAAAATTCTTAAATTTTATAGAGGTGCTAAGCTGTCATTATGGGATACTGTCCCAAATCTTACTGGAGGTGTTCATAAAATATGCTATAAGAACTTTACTCCCCTTCTATAATCTAAACAATTCTGGATTCTAAAACATCTGGCCCCTAGGGTTTCAGATAAGAGAGTATATTCCTGTAAGACCTTCCTCATAGATTGTGTGAGGATGAGTTTCTTACAGTAGAACTCAGAAAAGTGAAGCCATTATTATTTATCATAAAATTAGTTTCCCCACCCTATTCCAAAGAATGAGTGAGGATGAGCATTTGATGATGCATAAATTTAGTCTCGAAACTTCTATATTTTTAGTATGTCAAGCTTGACTTATTGGATCAGTTACTGAAATGGAATGTTTCTCATAACTGTCTTACTCAGAACACTTTTTTTGCAATCTTTACATTCTTGGAAGGACACTTTATTTGCCTTCAGGTATTACCTGACAGACTTTATTTCAGTCATCTTTCCTAAGGTTCACCTTATGAAACTCATAACTAGATTATATTATCTCCTCGCTAAAAATGTAAACAAATGGAGATGGTTATATATTGGAATTCTCTATAAAGGCAAGATTATTAAAGACAATATATTTGTAGACTCATTAGTTAAAAAAAAATCTATCTAAATTTCATTTGGGGTTTCACAAGTAGAATTTTATTTTTGAGGTTGATTTTTGGCATGCTTCCTATTTCTTTCAGCTATTCAGAACTCTTTTGCTGTGTTTAATCCTTGACCTGTGGGCATGGAGAACTGATTATGAAATATACTTCTTGTATTAGGAAATTTTAAACTGAAAATTTCATATAATGAAATACTTAAGAGAAAAAGAAAGATTATTTAAATAAAGATTATGTTTCAAGAGGAATACATACAGAAACTCTTTTTAAATGTGCATTTTTGTAGGTCATTTGCCTTTAGTTAGAGTTGTGTTGAAACATAACAATCATGAATCTCTTTTTCACTCTGACTCCTGTTTCCTAGTGTCTTTCCCCTGGAAGAATGTTGCTGCCAATTTGTGATTGCATCTTGTGTGCTATGTGTGTGCATGTGTGTGTTTCACCTTTGTTTGAGAGTTACTAGGTGCCCAATTCTCCCCTGGCAATCCCAGCGCCTGGGGAAATGGAAGGAGAGTTAATCCTGCCATCAGAATGAATGAGTGGGATGATACTGACCCGGAGAACTGGGGTGATACAGTTCAATACAGTATGAGGACTAGAATGAACACTTTCTGTACTGGTTCAAAGGTAGGACAGGGAAACAAAGCAGAGTAGCACTCTTTTCTTATTCCTGATTGTAGGTCTTGGGTTTTCTGCCCCCTATTTTATCAATTCTGCAAAGCAAAGAATCAACCAATCAGTGTTGAACTTCTTACTGCAAAGACTCCTTCAACAGTGCATATTCTTTTATGCGGTGATGTTAAAAAAAAAAATGTAATGCTTTGGAGAGTTTATGCTTTGTAATTTTCTAGATGGTCAACCTAAGATAAAATCTCTTCAATCTTTGCAAGATAGGGCATCTTAAATATTTTCCCCATAAACCTATGACCCTCTCTAGTGTATTGTAAAAGCATTATTAATTAGTCTGTTGAATGTCGCTCAATACATAAAGCATTGCTTTTCCATTTAATTACTGGCACTCTATGATGTTGCTCCTAGGAAAAGGCACTTAAACCCCAATAAGACTTAGTTTCTTCACACCAAGAAGAAATGAGAGGAAATAAAACATCAGTGTGGTTTGATAAATGTGAAATCACTTGAAAACCTAAGAATTTCTTTAAAATAAAAAAAAAGTGTATTAGCCTGATCAATGTATAACTCCCTCAAGTAAGCTTGCTAATGTCATGTACAGAGTACTGAATAGGCAGCTATAAGTGCTGCAAAAAATGGACATCTATTTCTTGCTCTGACTTGGGGTGTAACAATATCTCCTGTGGTTCTTGTCTCTGTCGGCCCATCTCTAAGCAGTATTCCACAGAGTTGAAAAAGCTGTACTGCCAAATTGCGAAGACATGCCCCATCCAGATCAAGGTGATGACCCCGCCCCCTCAGGGTGCTGTCATCCGGGCCATGCCTGTCTACAAGAAGGCTGAACACGTCACAGAGGTGGTGAAGCGCTGCCCCAACCATGAGCTGAGCCGTGAATTCAATGAGGGTAAGGAGAATAAGAATCTGCACCTGCTCGAAGTTACTCCTTTTTGATAGACGTTCTGTGGAGATGTTTGTTTGGGATACTCCTGCCTGGTTCCAACCACTGCAATTTGGGAGAAACTAAGTTGCTATTTTAGCTGATCTTGTATCTGAGGATGCAAAATACAAAAATAATTTTAATAGATTTTTATAAAAAAATAAATAATAGATGCAAGTGTTCCTTTCACAATAATTGGAACTATAATATATATATATATATATATTATAAAATGAACTAGACTTCTCAACTATTTAGTTGTTCCATTTCTTTTTTTTTTAATGAGTGGAAGAACAATGTGGAATCTAGTCTGTTCAGCCTGTACTAGGGCACTCTTCAGCTTTAGTCTCTTTCCCAGAGTGATTTTTCAAGGCTAAACCAACCAAAGCTGGAATGGTAAGAAGAAGAGCCTGAAAGGAGGAAATTTGAAACTGTTAGAAGAGGAAAATGGAAAAGGAGAAAAGTAAATGAGTGAAAATAATGGTTAACAGTTATTAATAGGAGTTCTGGCACATCAGCTAGGAGGAGAGACAGATCAGTGAAAGACCAGACACCCAGAATAAATATCCCCTTTAACATGTATAAGTCATGCCCTGTGCTTTGAGCCTCAGTGCAGCAATAGATGTATAGAAGAGGTCACTCTTTCCCAGGGATACCTTACACCTAATATTCAAAATTGTATGAAAAGAGGTTAACTAAAGTATACAGAAAAATGTAAAAGGACAGGAGAAAGCATGTGGACTCATCTAAGAAAGATGAGCATGCAGGAAGATTGGAAGTTAGAATACTTTATATAGAAACTATATTCAAAAGGAAGAATGATACATAGCTACAAAATCTGAGTGATGAAAAGATGACAAAGAAAAACGGGTTTTCTTTGGAAGAAGAGAATAGACAGTTTAGTAGGGAAAATGAAGTTAAAATCTTCCCATCTTCACACAACTATTGTGGCACATTTCTATTCCTTATCATTACTTATACCTTTACATCTGGCTTTTAATTTTACAATATGTTTGAAAGATCATTACATATAGCTAAGGTTTATTATTAGTTTTTATGACTCCCTTTGATCCATCAAAGTGACATAACTTCTTTTTTAATTATTTATCATTGTTTGATTTAATAGTTCTTAGTTCTTGCAAAAATATATGATGATACCTCACAAAGTATCTTGATATAATCAGCATTTTATTTTAATTGAACTAGGAATATAGTTTCAGTTTTTGTGAAGTAGGAATATATTGTCAGTGGTTGAGAATATTTTTATAGCTCCCAATTTTGAATCAGATTCTTGCTCGGGTAGCTTTGTACTTTGCCAATTACCACAATTTTGTTTACCTTCTTTTTAAAATGTGCCTCCCTTTTCTTATTCTCTGATTTGGGCTTTTTTCAACACAACAAAACCGATGAGATACTCATTTTTACCAGGCAAACAAAAGACATACAGATGGGAACTTTACGATGAAGAATAAGTAGGTAAAGGAAAGATACATTCTTGCCATTGGTTGCCTCTTATTTAGAACTTTTGTAGGTAATTTTGGGGGCAGCATCTGCTTTCGAGCTTTTTTTTTTTTTTAAAAAATAATGTATTTCTTACCCTTCCACTTTCAGTAAAGTTGGAAAAATTTCCTCTGCTGATCATCTCAGAAATAAACTTGACTCACTAACTATACACTAAAAACAAACTATTCCCCTAAAGAGAGATGTTCATTCTAGTGTTTTCTGTTGTTATAAAGGTTGTGAGAACTCATATATTGGATATCTGGCAACAGAGTCTGCTTCTTTTTTTTAAGGATGTATGTTTTCCCTAGGACACAGACTATTTCTTGTGTCGCCAACTTTATGTCCATAGAGTCTCAGTTGATTTTGTGTATTTGGAGTGTGCTAGACTTAATTATTTTCTCTTTCTCTGTTTTGCAGGGCAAATTGCCCCTCCTAGTCATTTGATTCGAGTAGAAGGGAACAGTCATGCCCAGTATGTAGAAGACCCCATCACAGGAAGACAGAGTGTTTTGGTACCTTATGAGCCACCCCAGGTAAGGATATAAGGACTGGATGGATTTGCAAAAGCATTCATTTCAGCCATAAAAGGTGTTCTGAGCATCTAATTTTCTGTTAGTTCCTGTCATTAAATATGCTACCATTTGTTATTTTTTTCTCTTCCTTTTTTCCATATTTCCTTTCATTTTGTCTTTCAAAACTCCGAAATTTGTAGCAAATTAATTTGGTAACATGGCCCATGCCTCTTTCCACCTTAAAAACAATAATAATTGAACTTGCAAGTAGAATAATACATAACATCTTATCCAGGGACTCTTAACTGGCACCATGAATTTTTATACCAGCTTGCAAGTGGGAGCCAGTGAAGAGAGATGTCCTCACTGAAGTGAGACTGAAGAGATGGCCATCTAGACAGCTAGAATGTATGGCTTGGCTGTGTGGACCTTCAGATTGTGATGCTCCTCTGGGCTTCTTGGCTCCCGATGGTCTCACTGATAGATGAGCACACTGTACTATATTTTCATCTGAGTACCTTTTAAGCTATTTATTAAAGTGTACAGTCAAATAAATATTGTATTCTTGTACTCACCATAGGGGAAATATCCTGGGCATATGCCTGTATAATTAGTCACTTTCAACTCTCCCTTTTCAGTAATTTTTAAGATATGTCACCCTGTTTGAATTGAATGATATGGGTTAGCTTATAAATTAATTAGGGTCAAAGAATAATTAATTTAAAAAAGTATTCTCCACCTTAGCTAGAATCCATTGTTGTAAACAGTGGCTTCAAGCTTCCCAAGAAACAAGACAGAAAGAATCTACCTTGAGTCCCTGAGCTGGCCTTCCTAGAAGAAAGCACATCACTTCTGCAGAAGTAGAATTGTTTAAAAATAGGAAAGGACTGGGAAGGACACGTATCAGTTCAAACCTTTGTTAACAGACTCTCCCCCCTCCCCCATTCAGGTTGGCACTGAATTCACGACAGTTTTGTACAATTTCATGTGTAATAGCAGTTGTGTTGGAGGGATGAACCGCCGTCCAATTTTAATCATTGTTACTCTGGAAACCAGAGAGTAAGTGGCATATTCATAATTGTCATTCTGTGAAACCATGGGCAGAGGGCAAAGTAAAATTGTGTCTGCTTTATCATTACCTTGGCATGCACAGCAAAGAACTACCCTTGCTTTTGGCTTTTGTGCTTTAAATCCTTGCTGCAAACACTTACATAAAAGATCTAAGAAAGTGGAGACAGAATGGGTGGATAAAGAGAGAGGGGAAAAAAGAACTGGGGAGGTGTGCAAGTCGCTTCATACCTGAATTCTTGACATTTGACTGGAATAGTTTCTTATTAGACAGTGTTTGTTTTCACGGGGCCCCCAAGGCATTTAACAATTTCTTTGACTAAGTCTGGGCTGCCTATGGGGATTTTATCCTGAGACATCCACTGGCTTAACTCAAGTTTCCTTCAAAATATGTAGCTAAATACAGCTGTTCAGCTAATGGCTTGGAGGTTCTTTGCAGAGCAAATGGAATGTTATTTACTAACATTGCTTGTGGCGTGTTAGCACTTTTGTGTGGTGCCAAGTGCTGATGGGTCCATCCTGACAGCACTGAGACTGAGGCGCTGGTGGTGGTGGTGGTGGCGCGCTGGTGATAGCCAGGGGAGCGTGGCCCCAAAAGGATGACAGGGGACTTTCAGAATTCTTTTAACTTAACTCTTTCTTCCTCTTTTTTCTAATCCTAGTGGGCAAGTCTTGGGCCGACGCTGTTTCGAGGCCCGGATCTGTGCTTGCCCTGGGAGAGACAGAAAGGCAGATGAAGACAGCATCAGAAAGCAGCAAGTCTCGGACAGCACAAAGAATGGTGATGGTACGAAGCGCCGTAAGTAGCTGTAGTGGCCCAACGGGTCGGGTTGAGTTGAGATACGGGGTTAGAGAGTATTTGAGAAGCTGCTTCCTTAGATCCAAGTGTTTTAGAGACAAGTATGACTTGCAGCCTGTGAACAGCAGTGGGGAGGGCAGTCACCTGGATGGACTCCAGGTGCACACTCCAGCCTTATTGGAGGGAGTCATCAGTAGGAGATTCCACAGTCCAGCATGTGTGGCTCCCAGATCAGTAGCATCATCATGGTCCAAAACCATGTAGAAATGCAAATTCTCAGTGCCCAGTTGAGCTGAGGCAGAATTCTTGGTGTGAGGCCCTACAAGCTTCAGGAAGCTAAAGTTTGAGAGGCAGTCAATGTTGCCTATTTGTATTATTTTGCCTTTCTGTTGTGGAGTATGAAGGTTGAAAGTAGCACCTGCCTACCTCATGTGCCTGTGGGAAGTAAGAATGCTTTTCAGAGCCCACAGTCTGCGCAGTATGCTGACCTGGGTTTCACTGGATCTTGATGTGTACAACCCTCAGGGGGACTCAGTTACTTCATCCATAAGGAACCTAATAATTTGGGTCTGTTACTTTTATACTTTTTCTTAAAAAGCAGCGAATGCATTTTTTAAGTGACATAGTTCATGGAATTCACAGTACAAGATAGGAGTAAAGAGGAACTGCTGTGGGTATAAGGACAGGCACTGCAGGTGGCCTGTGGCCCCATTCTCTACCTGGAACCACCCCTTTACCATGAGGTACATCCCCACAATGAGTTCCGTCTCCAAGTAACAAAGAGTGGGAAACACTGATCCACATGTGACTTCTAACTCGTGAGATTTGATTCTAGAAGGTGGCTTGTATAGCCTGATAACATTACAGGTGTTTAACAAAACACACTACCATTTATTTCATCAGAAAGGTTTTAATCTTATTGCTGATTAGTGTCCCTAAGAAACAAAATTTGTATTGCTTTTTATAGAAAAAAAATGTTTTAACAACTAGTAACCATTAACATTAGCTTCTAGCTTCTTAGCATGATTTTCCTTTCCTGTTGCTCTTTCTCTGGTTACTCTTCAAAGTATTTAACAGTATGTATAAATAATTACATTACTACCCTAATTTTACTCTAGTCTCACTGATGGCAATGTTCTTATATCAGTTATGTACAATGAATGACTTTTCGTAAAAACAGTTTATCTTAATTTTAGTGGGAGATAATCTCTCTACCCTGAATCCTAAGCATAGTTTCTAATAGTGAAAATCTTAGGCACTTATGAACCAATTCACTCATCTTTCCAAAGAAAAAACTAAAAAAGTGAGAATATTTGTCAGAAGTTGTATGATCTATGTAATTAAAATGAGAGGGGAGAATGCATTAGACTGCATGCATTACCAAGCAACCTCTACAAGGTGCCTTTACCTCCTTGGAAGATAAATGATCTGAAAAATATAACACAAAACCAATTTATCTTCCTTTCCTTAACAGCTGTTCACAGACCCAAGCAGTAAGGCATAGGGAATCCCGCTGTACTACTGAAGCCAAAGGCGATTTCCCAACTTCCCTGATTTCTTTGTTTCACTTGTTCTGCCTCACACTACCCCCATCTCATTATTATGAGGTTAACACTTAATACAAAAATTAGTACTGCTCATTAAGTGGGTGCTTAGAACTAGGAACTCTGATCTCCCGGGTTTCGCTACAGCTACTTTCTGTTTAATAAATGCATTATTGCTTCAGAACTGCTCCCTGTATGAAACTTGCATTTTTCCTCCACCAGCTTTTCGTCAGAACACACATGGCATCCAGATGACATCCATCAAGAAACGAAGATCCCCAGATGATGAACTGTTATATTTACCCGTGAGTTTCCTTTGGGCACTCATGACAGTTTCATTTTCAACGTCACTTTTACTCTTTTGCCATCCTCTGATTATCTGTGACAATAACAAAGGGGTGATAGTGGTCTCTGAGATAAAACAGAAAATCTACATTTTTTTTTTTTTTTGGAAAAATTAGGAAATTCTCCCTTCCCTCCAGAGTTCTGGGATAAAGGTAGTCTACCTTGCTGCCAGACTAGATGGCAAGACCTTAAGTAGTCCTTGAATATGCCACCTAACTTAGCCCATGAGATAATCAAGCTGAGCCAGGAGATTTAAAGCTTTGACTGGCAGCTTCTGCCTGAGACTAAATCTAAGCAATCCAACAGGTGTGTGTGAGTCTTACTTCTTTCTCTGCCTTCACTGAACCCTGACCATCAGGGAAATTGACTTTTTGCTTGTAGATGTCTTAGTTAATATTCTCAATCTACATATGGAAACCAATTTTTGAACTTCAGTTGAAATTATCCTCATACATTAAGTATTCTAGAATACCTGCTATGTTTTCAATTGCCAAAATAGAAATCACCTGAAAGTTTACCTTTAAAGGAATTTCATTTCCACTAATGAAATCCATGTAATCAATTATATCTTACATTTAGTAAAAAAAAAGTTAAATTGAAGCTTGGGAACAAAAAAAAAAAAGAAAACTATTAAGTTAGCATGAATTTTGTTAGTATTTGTTGAGATATGCTAGACCCTATAAATTTAGAGATAAGTAGGATAGAGTCCTTAGCATCAAAGAACCTGTGTTTTAGTGAGCAAACAGTTGAAACCATAAAGTAAATGCTTCAGCAGAGCCAAGAGTGAAGCTGTAGCAGCACCAAAGAAAGATGGAAGACTCACTTGAACATTGAGTTCAGAGAACGCCTCTCAGAAGTGATACTAAGGCTGGAATGAGAGGAGTTAATCCAGCAAAAAGAAGAGGAAATCTTTCAATTTCTGGATTTTGACAAATTCCTCTTCTCATGCTCAGCAATGGGACTGGTGCAGGATTTGAATGGGATGGGCATTCACTCCCTCTCTGGCTCCTTGCCTCACTCTAGTCCTGGTCCTGCTGACACTTTTTGAATCATTTAGAGGCTTACTAAAGAGAGAAGCACATTTTAACCCAGCTGAAACTTTTTCCCATCCAGAGGTAGTTATAATGAATTCTCATTATTTGTTATAGTTTCACTTTCTAAAGTCACTTGAATGCTTTTCTAGCAAATACTGAATCATTGAATCCTAAAGGAGTTTCTACTCTCTTTCCGCAATATTTTCAGATGCAATCATTGTATAACTTTCTTTTATGTGTATTTATGCCTAGGGATAATTTATTTAATAGATACTATTGATTAATTTCATTAAACTCACAGCCAATGCTGAGCAAACTCAATTTTTGCTTGGGAAAAACTTATTTAGTACAGGTATTTTCTCTGTCAGTTACTTCACAATCTTCTTGTGTGAAGGAATACACAATCCATTCAGGGGCTATCTTAAACAGGAACTTCACCACCAAAAAGTACAGAATGTAAAAATATGGCACTAAAGAGAGCAAGTAGAGCACACTTGTTCAGCACATCGCTTTGCTTAGCCTCTGCTGAGGACAGGCATGGTGGTCCAGATGTCCATCACTTAGCATATGTCTGAAATGACAACAAAGGGCCACCATATTGCTTTTCATGGTATAAATCAATGTTAGCAAGTTGATGAATTTGCTGATATGGAGTCCATGAATAATGAGGATTGATTATCCTGAAAATTCTATAGATCTTCAACTTTTCTTCTCTTCCCTTCTGCTCTTTGTCATAGGTGAGGGGTCGGGAGACTTATGAAATGCTGTTGAAAATCAAGGAGTCCCTGGAACTCATGCAGTACCTCCCTCAACACACGATTGAGACATACAGACAGCAGCAGCAGCAGCAGCACCAGCACTTACTCCAGAAACAGTGAGTGTGTCATTTTAGGACTTTGAAGCATGACTACTTATGGGCTATCAATAGGGTGATTGGTGGGTGATTTAGGAGATGAGGTGGTGAGACAGCAGAACATGATAGGTCCAGATTTGCTGGTGTGGGCCCTTTTTCAATTTCAACAAAAACCTTCCCTTTAAGAAATTGCTTCTGTTTTCTGAAGTTGAATCCAGATCATTTCAGTTGAATTCAAAGACACTCATATTGACAGAACCCTTGATCCAAGCATTTTGAATACTACATTATACTAGTAATAATGTGAATATTTCAAAGGTTTGATTTTCCCTTACACCACTAGATTGCCTCTGACTCTCTCTTGGCATGTATACCTGATGCACTTTGGGGAAAACTACTGTAATTAAGAATAATATGTGTGTGTGTGTGTGTGTGTGTGTGTATAAAGTGACTTTTGAGTGCTATGTTAAGAAGCATTTTGAAACCTAGTGCATGTTCATTGAGAAAATCTAAGGGAATGAAAGGGGCAAAGTGGCATCGTACTGCCAAATGTTAACATCCAGTTCAACATTTTTATATAAATTGGGCCAGACTTTGCAAATATATTGGAATATAATCAACCTGTTTATATGTTAATTTTTATCTTGACTTTGGATCTTTGATGATGTTAATTGTTTTATGATGAACCAGAATAGTAGAGTTCTTATGAAAGGAAGGGAAGTTGGTAAATCTAATCTGTTTATACTTAATCCTTCTGTGGTTAATAAAAATCACTTATTCTTAAGATTCCTTGTCTGTACTGAAAATATCAACAGAATCTATACATCAATATAAAATGTATTTGTTTTGGGCCCATTTGAATAAATTAAATTTTGACCTTACTTTTTAGGCAAAATGAGATTAAACCGAAACCATCTTGCCTAAGGCAAATATTGTCTTTATAATTAAAATGTAAATGAACAATAGGTAATCGTTCTTTACTCATTATACTGCAGCTACTAGACTGTGGTAGCTATGGAAAGCATGATAAAGAGAGCATGTTATGCCTTTTAATAATCAACATAAATACAGTAGAGGTGACTAGAACCCCTTGCTGATAAGTTGGAGGGATCCTCTGTGCACCTATTGGCTGAAGGGTATGTGTGAGGTTGGCAGTATCTGGTTAGACAAGATGCTGCTCTCATTTTAAAGGCCATTAACAAGATGATCCTTTCTGCCTGAAAGGGATCTCACCATTTACTTTAGCATGAATGAGTTGCAAGTCATATTATAAGCTTTGATAGGTAAGGCTGAGTAGAAAGTTCTATCTGGAAGTCCCTAGGGGACACAAACTATCCAAAAGAGAATTCAGAACCCAAGATTATACACAGAATTCCCATTGCAAAATCTTTAGATTCTTTAGGATAGCAGAGTGAAGTGTATGTTAATAATAGTCAATTGTAAAACTGATTTAGTCCTTATAAATCATATAATAGAGATCAAAGAAACACATTTCTAGTATTATCTACAGACCCAGAGGAGGTTAAGTTCTGTCCTCAGGATATGCATAGGATGGTATTAAAAAAAAAAAAAATGCCAAAAAATGGTTCAGGCAAAAGACATTAGAAGAAGTATATTCTTATGTCTCTGAATCAAAACAAATTGTTGTAAAACAATTTTACCACAATTTTAAAAATAAGATAAAGATTTCAGAAGAATTACACAGTAGCATATCATGCTGAAATAGTTGCTGTGATTCTCTTCCCTGTCTCTTCAGATTGTTAGGCCAGATTGATACTTATGAAAGATCTGACTACCTAACCATACCAGTTGGCAATTTTTTTTTTTCTGTAAAGCACCAGTAATAAATATTTTAGTTTTTCTCCTTCATAATGTCTCTCATAGCTGTTCAGTTCTGCCGTTGGAGTCAAGACTTATCCATAGACATGCAATAAATGAGAGTGAAGCAGAGGGAAAACTTCAGGAACTTAGTTCTAACCTCTTCTTTATCTATCTATACATCTGTCTGTCTGTCTATTTGATACAATAGTGAGGTATTAAAAAGCTTTAGGAAACTTTCCAGTGATTTTAAGGTGACATTTCTAAATGAGTATCCCAGCCTAATAAAATGACCCCCATCTTAAACTGCTGTCTTTTACTTGAGGAAATTAGGTCAATGCATCTAGGCATAAAATATAGTTACCAGTGGAATCCCCTTATCAACTAAGACTGGACTGTTTGTCTTGATTCATGTAGCATCATTTTGCTGAAGTTCTTTATATTAACGTATTAAAGATAGATATAAGAAAGATAAGTTGCTTGCCTTTTCATAATTTATAATTTATTGATAAATTCCTAACTAAAACACCTTTTGAATGTTAAAAGAGTTCTAGGAATTTATTCTCAGCATTGTATAAGTTAATAGAACAATTTAAAATAACTTCTCTAAGTTATACAGTAAAGGGAATAATTTAGAGGCACGGTTTTAGAGACATATAAGCTAGAAGAATAATTATAGTCTGTCAAGGACATAGGCTACTTATGTTTGTTTACATGGTGAATGTACCCCTGTATTTCCTTATGATATTATCCAAATCTTTGTCTGAGTCTGAAAGGATATTATTTTGCATTTCATATTTCATAAAACAATATTTCATCAAAGAAGAAATTTGATCTTTAAATTGTTAATCTTAAATAACCCAAAAATATTTTAGATACAATTTTTTTTCTTTCTTTTTTTTTTTTTTTTTTTTTGTGAATGGCCTCCAATATGTTCTGAAGAGTTAGTATCTTATAGTTCTCTGGGGTGTCCATTTAAAAGTATCAATGCATGTTTTTGAATTGTTATCCTATGGTATGTAAGAACTAACTTCAGCTGTGATAACTGCATGGAAATCTATCAGGCTGCAAACTGCAGTCTTTACATATTAATTATGCCATTGTTACATTTTATATGTATGGGTCTCCAAAGATTGATACACACACACACACAAATATAAATCTTCCAACTGTATTTTTTGACTGAGTTTTTTTCCCTCCAGCTCTTTTATTTTCATGCAAATCTCTAACAAAGAATTTGAATGACTAGACAAAGACAAATGGAAATCTAATTCTGTGGCAATCATATGAAAAGAATAAATCAGCTTAGAAAATGCTTATAATAGCCTGTGATTTCCTTTCCAAAAACATAATGCCAATTTTATGCTGGTAAGGAATCAATTTTGTGCTTTCCTTATGGTAGAAGGAAAATTAATGGGAAGGGAATACACTTTCTACAAGGTAGCAACAAAATACTTACATACTTCTATTGATTAATTACTTCCATTGATTTCCCACTTTCTGTTTTTCTCTGCTTGCTTTACATTTGTGCATGGTTTTCCTTTTTAAACAAATCCTTTACAGTTACCTTCATGATCATAGATTTTATGGAGGATAAATTTTACACCAAATTTTTGTGAATGAAATTGTTTAATATAGGCTTTATACCATTGATAAAATTTGATTTTAGTTTATTTACCCACATTAAAATAAACACAGAGTGTGGTCTTAATAGAAGTGAGAATCTAGCTGGAGGACAAACTGAGTCCATTGTTACCACTAGGCTTCCTGCCTTCATATTTTAAAGAGCAGTAAGTCTTCAGATAGCTTTGTAGCCCTGTCTGAGACCTATTTATCAGTCTTCTGACTTACGTACTTTAGACCAATGCTACTTCCTTTTCATTTTCTTCTAGAACTTATCCTCCTTGTTGATTTTCATCCTGATCTCAGACCAACATAATTCTGTTAAAATTTTACTTATCCTAGTTCTGGCTTCCCTCTGGAAATTATTTGCATTTATACAGGTGATTTCACTTTAATTTTAATGGCAATATGTAACATCCTTTGGTACCTTTAGTAGTTTTTCCAGTATGATCTCTTAATGAGTGTGGTTCAGTAGTATTTGAGGGCTGAGAATATTAAAGCAGAGGGAGAGCTTCAAGACTTTAGTTCTAACCTCTTCCTACCATAAGTGGGAAAACTGAGACTCAGTGAGCTATACCTGTGTTTTCATACTAAGCTCATTATAAAACTAAAATGAGATGCAGATTTGGAAGATACAATATTTGCAGTATTCTGGCCTGCTCATTAGTTAAAGAAGTTGTGACCCTTTTTTTCTGTTTCTGAATTAGTTGGTTATTTTTCCTTGTGGTTTGAGGCTGAAACTTATTTAAACTCACTTTCCTATGAGTTTCTTCAATTTTACTTTTTTCCCCTTCAAATGTATGTCTCTAAGAGAGAAGCAAACAATATTTTCAGGATTACCAATGTAAGGAGAAAGCAGAAGACAAATCTCTGTCTCACTGGTACACATAATTAATGCTCAATTTCTAGGTTTGATTTAGGAATACACATTTCCAGAATATTGCTTGAAATTGTCAGTTCCATAGTTAAGTGCAAGAATGATAATTTTATGTAACTCAGCTTTATAAGCCATAGAACTGCACTAGCTTCTAAAGGTAACACAATGTTACTTTTGAACTTTACAGCTATGTTACAAGATGTCAGGGCAGAGGTTTATTAGCTCTGAATTGATAGTGAAGAAAAATCTCAGATGAATTAAAGTCAGATATCTTAAATCACTTTTCTAAATTCTTATATCTCATTCATTGTAGAACTTGATCTCATTTCTGGGTCTTGAAATTTGAACCACTATAGTCCAAACCTCTTAGTCGTAACTGAAACTGGATTTCTGCTTATTGTCTCATTCAGTTCTTGCTCCAAAGGAAGTCACTAAATACAATATTCAAACAAGAAGTCAGAGCTATAGTTCCTAGTTTGGCAGTGCTAATTCTTGCAGGTGAGATGGTTTACTGAATCTGAGTGTTAAACTAGTAAAAATGGCTTTTTTTTTTCCTCTGCAAGGAATAAGCAAAGTGACTTGAAAGTCATCTGGAAAACAATTCCCAAACAGTTCATGAGCTTACACAACCTTTAATAAAATAAAAGGATTTGTTTCTGGCATTTTGTGTCATAAATGACTTCTTAATTATGCAAAAGTTGCTTTCATAAGTTTGATATGTGCACTTATAGGCCAAGTTTGTGACTAAAAGGATTAAGATATTTATCCATCTCAATCTGAGCACATACAAAATGCTCATTAATAGTTCTTTGCAAATGCACGATGACGCAGCCCCCAGTCTGATAAGATCATATTTCTTCATACTTCATAGTTAGGTTTGACAAGAATAGTAATGAGGCATGATAATTAGGCAGATGACATTTTACAAAAGATTAAACTTAATTCTTGTCTTTGCATTCCCTTTTTCCATTTATTGAGTTCAGAATGCCAGGGACTATGCTAACCACCTTGACCTACCTTGTCTCAGTAGTGCTCAACTGAATCACTTGTGTGGAACTTGTTAAAAATATATGTGCCATGCCCCAGTCTGGTCTCAGAAGGGATCCAGGACAAAAGCTTTTTTTTTTTAAATTCCACAAGTGATTCTAATATGCTAACAACTCCTGACTTATTTCACTTTTTTTCATAAAAAATCTTGAAAAAAATCATCTCTGAATAATTTTAAAGGCAGATTAAAAAGGAAATATCAGAAACAGCTTTTCAGGCATTTTATTCTTTCTACGCTATGATCATGAAGGTAGGAGAATGTTTCTGTATTCAATTGATTTGAATGTATGAAGTGCTAAGCCTTCGTCTTTTCTTTTTTCTGGTTCCTCTCTGCAGTCTCTTTTCAGCCTGCTTCAGGAATGAGCTTGTGGAGCCCCGGAGAGAAACTCCGAAACAATCTGACGTCTTCCTTAGACATTCCAACCCCCCAAACCGATCGGTGTACCCCTAGAGTCCCATCTCTGTATTTGGAGCAGTTGTCTGTCGTGTTTCCATATGTGTGTGTCTGTGTGTGGGTACCCAGCCCTCCTAAGCAGGACTTGAAGGCGCTTTGGCTAAGAGACCCAGCTGCTCAAAGGCACACAGCCACTAGTGAGAACATATTTTGAAGGGACTCAAAACGTTACAAGAAAGGATATTTCTGCAGATTCTGTATCCTAGACCTAGTGTTGATCAGTCAGGAACGCTGTGTTTGTCTGTGAACTTTGGCATTGTTTCTGGAAGGGATGGGGTCAGGTTGGGAAGAGGGGCATGAAGATATCCATGGGGACTCTTCTCTGTTACCTTCTGTTGTGTTTCTAAATCTCATAAAGAAGCTTTTGAGCAGGTCTCAAATATAAGATGTCTTTTTAAGAAAAGGAGAAAAAAGTTACTGTCTGTGCATAAATTTTAAGTGACTGAGGGACTCAGTCAGGCCGTTTTAATGCTGGTCATGCAATAATAATGCAAATAATAACGAACTAAGGTGTTAAATATACTGCTGGACAGAGATGTGATTATTACCCCAGTAGCCAATGTGGGGATTTTCTTTTCTTCTATTGCGAACTTGCATTATTAATATCTTCCCCTCATATGTAAGTAGAAAGTTCGGTAAATACTATGTCAGACTCTATCATTGCCACCATATGTCAGCATCTGATTTGATAGTCTTCTTTGCCCATGGAAACCCTAGAGACCTATTCCCAAACTTGTTTAGACCCCAAAATAAGTAAAGCCTATTTTGTCATGTAACAAAAGGTTAAAGGCAGGCACATTGTTTGGTCCAGGGTAAAACCATACTAGTATTTTGAATATATTCAATACGTATCTTTCCTTCCTGAAATAGAGTTAAAAGGTCCTCCTCACCAATCTCTGATTTATTTGTTTGATTGGAGCTTCTGTTGCAGAGTCAGTCTATAAAAGCAGCCATAAGGCTGACACACTCAAATCCTTTGCCCAGTGATGTCCTAGAACATCCATGTTAAACACTCATGCCTAGCAATGAAAGATAGACAACTTTCTTCTTTTGTCTCAAAAAATTTAAAGATTCTGTATCTTTTCATTAAAAAACCTTACTTTGATAAAAAAAAAAATCATACAGACTGAAAATCTCCCTAAACCAGGTCACCAGCTCTTTATTCTGTGTCCCCACAAAAATGAATTCTTGTTATTGATGCTGTTGCTTTATGGATGTGTGATTTTAATTTTCAATAAACTTTTGCATCTTGGTTTATCTTGCAGTTTCTCTTTTCTGTCTCTATGGCTTTTTTATTCCTTAAATACTAGAATGTTTTTGTTTCATTGTTTAAAATATGATGTGTAAGTGTAAAGCATAAGATTATAGGACATTCACATTGGTTCTGTCTACATTTTTGTCAGTATTTGGTGTTTTTATTTAAGAAAATCTGAATTAAGGTCATCAATATGCAAATAAAATTTCAGTGCCTGCACCACCTTGAAAATACATTTTAGTTCTGTCCATGTTTAATTTCATCATAAGCCAGGCTAACTAGCAGTATTTGTTCACATCTCTGAGTAACTCTTGAATTATATCTTATATTGCTGCATATACTTAAAGGAATTTAAATAAAATCCAAATTTATAAATAATTTGATTTTAGTGACATAAGAATTAAATATTTATCCAGAAATCCATAGAGGAAAATATATCCAGAAATAATTACAGTACACTCTGATTATTGAGTAAATGCTTTTAAAAGTTTCAAAAACAACTTTGAAATTGAAATAATTTACCTAATAGCTTAGAAAAATTCTTGAGAAGAAACATTTTTACTTTTACATTTAAGGTAAAAGTGTGGTAGTACAACCAGAATATCCAATTATACTGGAAAAAATGTTTTCACTCACTCTAATCATTTTTAATCACAAATCTTTTAAAGAGTTTATGAGTATATTCAGATTTTAAATATTTAGTTTTCGTGATTATTTCCTTTTATACTAACTTTAAGTTTTTTATATTTTTATAATGACTTATATAAATGAACATATTCAAACTGATAGAAATTATTTTGTAATTATGGTTGATCTATCTAGAGAATAAATACTGCCCTTACAAGGTCTTTGGGAGCAAGATTCTCCAGGAAGGTTACAATCCAGGCAGTCCTGGACAAAATTTGGAGCAGGAACTGTTCTGTTTCAGATGTTCCCTATTTGTATACTTTTCTCATCTAGCAATGTCATGTTCTCTTCCCCATTCTCCTTTACCCTCTCAGTTCCTGTGCTCTAGAACAGGATAGCTGAAATTAATTTATTTGGAGGCATCCCCAAATTCTACTAAGAAATTTAGTTTTAATTGACAATAGATGTTATAAGGCAAAAGAAGTAATCTTTTGATGAGATATTTGACGTCTCCAGCAAGGTAAAGAAAATGACTTTGAGTTTCTGTCAACTTGGAAATTTTGACTTTCTGGCATACAGATAAGATTGGATTCAGGAAACCCATTTCTAATCCTGTGGCCTAAAGGCCAGTAATAGCTGTGGGATTCTGTATTTTACCCTTGTAATGTATATAGAAATCTAAGTTGTTAAGAGTTAAGGAAAGGGACTGAACTTCTCTAGAATAGCTCCTCAAAAGTAGCAATCCATGAGATATGCCGTTGTATGTCTCCATTATCTGGATGCCTAGACAAATCTAATAAACCTTGACCAAAAAAAAAAAAAATCTTAGCCTTGATAATTTTCTGAGGAGACCTATGTTCTAACTTTTTCTGTTTCGTTTTTTTGAGGGAAGGTTAAGAAAAACCTCGGGGTCACCCTGGTGGCCTAAGGGTTAAATCTCAGCGCTGTCACTGCTGAGGCATGAGTTCCATCCCTGTCGAGGGAGCTGACCCACATGGCACAGCAGACTTCCTCTGTCCACCTGCTGCTCCCCTCAGCAGTGTATTTCAGTAGATCTGCCTATTCTCCCCAATCTGGCTCACCCTCCCACACTCGTAACTCTGGCCTATACTCTAGTTCTATGAAAAAATAAAGCTTAAAAAAAAAAAAGACCTGTAACCCTTGAACCCTTGAACACTTTTTCCATGTCTTCAGCTCCCTAGCAGTCTGTCATCCTTTCCCTGAGGACTGTGATATTTTTATTTGTAATGGAAAAATACATGTCAAGGCCTTTAAATTGGCTGCATAGGTATTCAGCTTTGCTCCCTCCCCCACAGCACAAAAAGGTCATCAGAATGTTTTTTCCATTTCAGACATGTGAATCCATTAACAGACTCCCCTGTTAAATGCCTGCATAGATGGAGAAGCATTCAGAATGTCTGACCTTTTCACACTCTCCTATCACCATTCTGCTCACCCTAATTTATGGATTTGTTCAATTAAGAAAACATGCCACTTTCTTTTATTAGTACTGAGACTGATTCCTTTCATTCCTTTAGCCATATGCTGGAATAGTAAACATTTGGAACTCAAGGGAAGAAGTAAAGGGAACCAATGTTTATTACACGCCTAGAAATTAGTGTCCAGGACTCTTACATAAACTAATTCAATCTTCATAGCAACTCTTCTAGAATAAATACAGTGCTTATCTACAGTTTATGAAAATGAGACACAGGAGTGTTCTTAACATTTTAAATCAAGGAGTTATTTTGTTTCCAATCTGGAAAGTGAGCCCAGAAATGTTGGTACACTCCAAAATCCATGTTTCTTCTTTGCGGATTTCTAGTTTTTCACTTATCCTCCCCAAAAGTAATTAGGGTGACTTATAGATATGAAAATAGTATATATGAAAAATCGTATATGAACCTATAAAAGTGATAACAAAATCCAAAAAGGGAAAGAAAGTAGGGAATTGTGACTGGTGATAAACCGTATTGTAATTTTGGGTCCAAAAAATATGCAGATATATTAAATGTATTCCTATTTTTCAGAGTGGGCATTAATGATTTAAACAGTGTACCCATCCATTCTTACCGTCTGTCTGACTAAGCTCAGGAAGGTATAAGAGAGATAGTTATAAATATCGTTAGGTTACAGATGACCAATCTACCTCTGAAGTCTGGACTACCTGGAATCTTACATACTTTGTGGAGGACAAAATAGTAAAAGAAACACTTAGCGAAACATCTCTTGCCCTGTGCTTTCCTACAATTTGGTATGAAGCTAGAGAGGTTTGAAGGTGTATCTAAATGAGCTAGTTCTTCTGCAGAACTTCTGTACAGGCATGGAGTGGATTTTTGATAGCTGCAGGTGAGAGTGGGGGCAGGGGGGTGCAGGCTTTATTTACAACATCCCTTGTTCCCTGTTCTTGCTCAATCTCCCACATTTCTCCTTTTGATTCAACCATCTACTGAGTCTCTAATCTACTGAATACCACTGTTTTATTCATGGGAAGTCACAAAATTAAAGAAAAACTTTGAGTAGGAGCCAGAAGACCTCTTACTTCATCATTTACTGAACAGCAGTCTTGGACATGTTTTTGTTTCTAGAACCTTATATCCATATATATAATAGAAATAATATCTGGCCATTTCTGCCTTGCCATACATATATAAGAATCACACATATAAGAGTTATTAAGAAAACAAAGGATGAGCTTGGTCATCTGACATATGTGTGGTTGGAAGTGTCTGTTATATAAACATCCATTTATAACAACACGGATCTATATTTTTGAATACTTGAAAGGGGATAAAGGAATAGTCAACACCCTCCTACCTTAAAGGCAGTGACTGTAAATGCCGAAGTATTAAGTGTACATTGCCATGATTGTTTATGCATATAAGTATACAGCATACAGTGTGAATCCCTCTATCTGTGATGTTCAATGTTATTGAATGGAGCTTGTCTTGTTTCTTGTAACACAGAAAATGCCATAAACTGTATCACTCTACCTTATAGAGTTAAAGCCACTTATTATTACTTTTTCAAACATTATTATGATGTTTACTTGCTCCCTGGGCACATTTGTAGATCTTTCAAAAGCTCAAATGATTGCTTGCTCCCCTAATATAGCTATGGACACAAGAGGGAACAAACCAGAACAAAATGAGCTACTTGGTTTGAGGAGTGTGATAGGGGGACATTTCCCACCACAGTTTAGAAACATTCTCAAAACCATCTTCTTCTGGAATCACAGGAATTTCTAAATGTAAATGCTACAGAACCTGTAAAGTTTGTTCTAATTTTTCCCAGTTCTCACCACAGGTGTCTACAAGGTAGGTTGGAGGATTATCCCTATAGATCCAGTATTCTATGATCTTCTCAGCGATGGGATCATTTCTTAGTTATTCTACCTCTGACCTCTAACACATTGCAGTGAGTACATATGCATATAGTATAACATCATTTTCTAGGGAGAAAACTAGGCAACACTTTTTACTGGCTTCCTAACATATGCTGGAGAAAGAATTAAACTTTGATTTTTCTGAATCTACATGATGCCACGATTTGAGTGAACATCATTACTTTTGAAGAAGAGGCCAAGAGTAGCAGTCGAGTAGGTAATAGCAAATGTAATATAGTGCAGGGTATGACAAAGCAGTTCTTTTAAGTTTCCAATTCTGCTAAATGGAAACTTACTTTGCCCCCGATACCTTTCAGGAGACTTGTGGAAAATCAAAAGAACATTGTTTGGGGGATGTTCAGGTCTTTGTTTTGTTTTGTATATAGAAGGTGTTGGCATTCCAATGGGCTCTCTAATGGCCCATGAACACTTAACTTGAGGAAGCATGATTTCTTGTTGGAGACTCTGCATGACAGCTGGGTGTACTGCCAAATCTCACTTTGATTAGCTTTCC